ATTTGGGGAGGGCGAGATGGCACTGTACCATTTTGAGTCTTAATCATTTTTACTTCGAATCAGTCAAACGCAAGCACCGTTCTTTGTATTCCTGATTCCAGGCTTGGTGCCTGTCTGCCTCTCTGTACCCCTGGGTCTCTCAGGCCTTTCTCTGTTGTGCCTTTGTCACTGAGTCTTTCTGATTCTCCCAGACGTAAGGAGTCCAGGTACAGGCCGACTTGGATTAGTGGTTGGGGATCGTCCCAGGTCTCTTAATGTCAGCTTCTCATCTTTAAAGTAGAGACAGTGGTACTGATATTGTTGAGTTGTCGTTAGGATAAACTGAAACTAAGTACACAGCAGGGAACTCAGTGTGTGGCTGCTGACAAGTGCTTGGCAAATGTTAGTGCCCTCCCCTAGCCCAATGCGTGCCACCCCTGTGACTGTTAGAGTCCCACCATGGGTTGGCTTCCTTTAGTGTGGCCTGCCCTCAGCCCATTTTCAGATCAGCCAATAGAGCCATGACCGGCTGGGACCATTTTTCATCCAACTGCTCTCATTCTAGCAGTTTCATGTGGCCTCTCTCTGTAAATCAGTCTGGGGAAAATAAATGTCCCCAGTCCATTAGTGCCTTTCCATCACAAGCCAATCTGAGCCACAAACCAGACAAGGCTTGTTAATGGCCACTTAAATATATTTCTGCAGCCCAGCCTGGAGACCCTCGGCCTCAAAAACTTCCGTCCAAGAAAAGTCTCACCAGGACAAGATTTTTGGCAGCAAAGGCGTAGACCTGACTCTTAGCAGTTATGGGGGGGACCATGTACCCTAATCTGCCTAGAACAATTCTGATCTGTTCCTGCTCCAGAGTAATTATTAATCAGTGCCCCCTTTAACACCCCAAAAGGTCCAGTTTGAATTATATACTGTACATGGTAGCTGTGGAAACCAAGAATAATAGTTTAAATAATAATAGCAATCATTTATGAACCACTTCCTATATGCCAGGCATCACCAAAAAGGTCTTTATACACTGTATCTCATTTCAGCCCCATTACAGCACTGTAAAGGGAGGTGCTATTATCATTTCTATTTTATAGATCAGGAAACTGAAGTTTAGAGAAATAAGCAACATGCTCAAGATCAACCAGCACAGAGGGCAATGTCTGCACCTCAGTCGGATCCCTTTTTCCAGGGCAGTACACCCATCCCCCCACTGCTGGAAGTGCAGGCAGCTCCTGGCTCAGTGGGGCGCCCTAACCCCCATCCCTCTTCCAGAGTAATGGAGCTCAAACGGAAGGTGGCGCAGTGGGGGAGGGTTGGGGGAGTTGGGGTGGGTGTGCGTGTGTGCATGTGTGTGTGTGTGTGCGCACGCACACGCAGGCACACACAGGGGCATAAAGGCTTCCCCTATTGCTTCAAGGTCAAACTGACTCTATGTACAATCCATGCTCCAGAAATCCTGGTGGGAGCCAGGGGAGACGAAATCCTTGCCTCGCTCCTTCCTTGTCCTGCTTCCCTTGCTCCCATTCTCCTGAGAGCACCCCCTCAATCAACCACTTAAAGAAGCATCTCTGTCTTGGGCTCTGCCTCTAGGGGGCAAGACCCAAGATCTATGGTTAGCAAGTGGCAGGGCTCGGACTCATGTCTAGGAAGGTCTCCCTCTTCATCACGGAGCAAATGTGACAGGACGTTGCCTATATTATCGACATGATTTAAATGATGGCCTCCAAGTTATCAGATTGTCAGGAAGTCAGTCATATAGGCGTACATACAACAACGATGACAACAGCCACAACAACTACTGCTTATTTAGTGCCATTCTCTTTCTTGCAACTGATCGTCTCAACAACATAGGTTCATTGAATTCTCTGCATTTTGCAGTTGAGGCATGGCAAGCTTGGAGAAGCTGAGATGTGTCTGTTGAGGTCACACAGGTAGGAACTGATGGGGTTTGGGTCTACATCCAGATCCTTCTTCTTCCAAAGGCCATGTGCTTTTTCTGCTTGGCCACTTAAACTACTTGCTGTGTAAATTGCTCAGTGAACGGTTGATTAAAGGGGTTCCCCATCAAAGCTGATGCTCTTGTAGCAAATTAGAAGACTCTGCAATCCCTCCCACCCTGCACTCTCCAAAGTGTTTCTTTTTGAGCTGTATTTGACCATCATAGCTCCAGTTGGGGAGAAAAACCATATTACTCTGGGAATCACCAGAGAATGTTCTCTAAAGTCAGACATAAAAAGATCAAAGGAACCATATTCATTGAAGAAAGTAAGAAAAGCAAGCTTGCATGCCAAAGGTCCAGAGAGGTAAATCATATTTCCTGTGGTTCTTCCATGGAGGGAGACAAGATGGAATAAAAGGAAAACAGCAGAGCTTTAAGGAGAGACAGACCAAGACTCAAATCTTAACTGTACTGCCTGTGTGATGTATTTAGCATATTACTCAACATCTCCAAGCCTCAGTTTGCTCTACCATAAAACCTATCACACTGGACCATAAATGAGACGGGGTAAATGAAACAAAATATGCATTTCCCTGTACCTCTTCTCTTCCATTTCCATAAAATTTATACAGTAACCAACTTGGACCTTCATTCCAGGTCTGAGTAATACTAGTTCAGATGGACTATGCTTTATTCCCAAGCAAACAGCATATCCTATTTGATGATAAGAGGTTCCCATTAAAAATAGAGAGCAGATAAAAGGGGGACCTTCATCCAGGAAGCCATCAGCTGATTCATAAAAATACAAAATGAATCATCCTGGTTCCCAAGGCTAAACTTACAATCACTAGGCATCTTTGGCCAGCTGATTCTAGCCCAGTGGAGGAGGAAAGGCCCAGAGGGCAATCTTCACAAACCTCCTTCAGTCCCTCCTTGCAAAACTGATTAACTCTGCTTCCAGCCTGGGGAAATGAAAATCAGTCTGGGCCCTTTGCAATACTGGATCCCAAATGTTCCCTCATGCCTCGTTGGCTTTCTGAGCAACTGGGGTGGGGAATCTGCAGTGATTCGTGTGTGTGTGTGTGTGTGTGTGTGTGTCCAATAAAGAACAGGCTTGTGCATCTGGCTTTGAAAAGCAATCTCCTGGCTTTCATCTTGACATTTATTATTTCAAAATGCTTCAGTTCCTATCAGTATCTATGTAATTAGCATAAGACTAGAGAACCCAGACCTATTTGTACTGCAAATGATGCTCTTTTCTTTAAAAAGTAGCTTCAACATTTTCACTCTCTGAACGTACCCTGAATGGAGAGTCATAATGAAATACACCCATACACACACACACAGACACACACAAAATATTTTTGATCTGTGGCTAAGGAAGGAAAATTATCAGTATATAGTTTTAGTTTTACGAAGCAGACGTCCTTCCACAGCAAGTGAAGAAAAATAAGGACTCAACAACCCTGGTCCAAGCGTCTTTTCTTACTCCATTCATCCAGCAATAACTTAGTCCTTCAGCATAAGGACTAAGTGTCTGACAAGCACTAGGCTATGCTGGACATTGGGGATTTGTTGGTGAAAAGGGCAGACGTAAGCTCTGTCTTCTGGGACCAATCAGCTTGGTTCACAGAGTTAACAAAACAGAATTGTACTGGATCCCCCAGTTTGCAAAATCCTCTTCCCTTACCCTGAATTCCCAAGAGTCATGTTTAGAGGCAACTGTGACCCGCTATATGTGTGAGGAATGAGTCAGAGACCAGCGCCCGCTTCTCTTGCCAGCTGCCTTCCAGCCTGGCATGTGAATCCTGCACCTGCTCCCAAAGCAGTGAATGGGAGGAGAATCTCCTTTGCATTTTTCTTGCCTCTGCATATGGTCCCAGAGTCCAGGTTTGGGGTCTAACCTAGGAACAGGTAAGCCGACTGCTGCTTATGGGAGCAGCCTCTACTGGGGGCTTTAAAATACAGACATGAGAAAGGGTAAGTCCATCTCACTGTGCTGAGAGCAAATTCCCCTTAGGTGCTTCCCACGCTGCTGCATAAAGAACCCAAGAGTGTTGGGTCCAGTGAACCCTCTACGGTGAGCCCTCCCTCCTAGAACTTCAGAGAAATGATCCGATAGTGACAGCACGCAGAAAGGCTTAAGCCCTCCAGAGCGAATCCCAACCGGGAATAACTCTGAAGTTCCCCCAGGAGGAGTGGGGAATGGAAGGACACTCAGATTGCTGAGCTGCGTTTGAGATGGGGATAGTTCTGAGAAGATCGCGGGTTGTTTGTTTATTTTTCCACTTTGGAGAAGCACAGAAGACGCTCGTGGGGGAAAAGGGGAGCCTTGGCCTCACTCCTCACCGAGCTGAGATGCTCCAGGACCTAACCCGCTGCTTCCCGGTGCCTTTCTCCCTACCAGGGCATCAGAGGGGCAGAGTGCAGGAGTGGGGGGAGAGAAGGCACTTCCCCAGCCCTGCACTCTGTTGCCAGCAGAAACCCAGCACAGAGGTTGAAAAGATCGAGTAGCAAATCCTAGCCTGGTCAGTTAGTAGCGGCAGCGAGATGTTGGGCAAATCACTGTCTGCGTCCTGGTCTCCTCACCTGAAACGGGGTGTAATGATGGTACCTAACTCATCGGGTCCCAGCAAGCATTAAATAAGATCGCACACGTAAGACTCTAAACACGAAGGCTGGTAGACAGTAAGCCGACGGTTATTATTTTTTAACCGTGTTATCAAACTCCCTCTCCTGGCAGCCGGGCTGTCCTACCCGACGGAGAGCCCCCGGAGCGCAATCTTCCAGACCACAGTGCTGGGCGCCACCATCCACCGCTTTCCTCCCCCGCGCAAGAGCTCACAGTCCCCTCCGGTCACCCCTAGATCCGGCTTGGCGAGGGCGAGGGCCACCTCGCTGCATCCCCCCCAGCGTCAGCCGGCCGCCGGCAGCGGGAGGCTCTGAGACCCGGGAAGGGCGCGGAGGAGGCGCCCACGGCCACTCTTCCCCGCGCAGCGGCCCCGCCGAGGCTCCGCCACCCCCGCCCCGGGAACGCAGAGCGCGCAAAGAGAAAGCGAGAAAGACGCGGATACTGGACCAGGCTTTGACGCGGATCTTGAGCTCGCCGTCCTGCGGCTCAGGCATGGCCTTCCTGGTGACCCGCAGCTTGTTGAGACCCCCGAAGCCGGCCAGCACCACGGCGCGCATCTCCTGGGCGTCCCCGAGGCGGTGAGAGCCGCCGCCGCCGCCGCCCTCAGCAGGCTCTTTGCCTGCCTCCTTCTCGATCATTTGCTCCGTCTCCTCCGCCTTCTCCACACCTTCCTTGGCCATGGCGCACGGGGGCGCGGGGCGCACGGGCTGCGGCGGCTGCGGCGGTGGGCTCGGGATCCTCTCCCGCGGGTTCCTCCTGTTGAATGTGGGATGCTCGGCTGTGCAATGGCTGCAGCCTCTGCGAGCCGCGCCAAGGTCCACAGCCTCCGCCGTAATCCTCGCAAGAGCCGCGCCCCAGCCCGCCCCCTCCCGCCCCCGACCCCGCTGCCTGCCTCTCTTCGCTGCCCAAGCGGAGCCTTAACTCCAGTCCCAGAGCCAGTCTCAAATCGGGCTCTTGATCGAAGCCCCGGGGCCCAGACTTGCCCAAGACTCGTGGATAAAACACACAGAGGACGCAGTGTCCTCCGCGGTGGGCGCAGTACTTTGTTATTTACGGCGCAGTCTCGGCGCCTTGAAATGGACAGAGAGGAATGTCTGGGCCTGGAGGATGCCTCCCGGAGTCGGGGTTGCAGCCTCTCCCGCAGATCTGCGGGGGCCCGGCGGGGCAGACGCGAAAGGGGGCTGTTTCCCAAATCTCCGGTACCGGCTGGAAAGGGGAAGAGGTTCTGGGAAGCAGGAAACGAGAAATCCCACTTACTCCCCTGAAGAGTCTAAACCAGGGTCTTTTCACTCCAGACCCTCTGGGTCAGTGCAGATGTTCTTTACCAGGCGTCGCCAGGAACCTCTTATGATGGCTAATTCTCCCTACCCGCACCATTTTTGGCCATCAAAGAGCTTTCAGAAAAGAATTCTGTAGCAGGAAATGGTCCTCTTTTTGTTTTGATCCCCAGAAGATCAGTGTACACTCCCCCCCCACACACACACAGTAACTGGCTTTTTGGGTTTTATTATAAGCCCTTTGAAAAGGAACTTATACAAAAACCTGGACTTTTGGGGGGTGCTTGGGTGGCTCAGTAGGTTAAGCATCTGCCTTGTGTTCAGATCCTTGGATGGCACCCCCTGCCCATGGAGGGCTCAGGTGGAAGGAGATTGCCTTGCAGCTGTTTATAGAAAGATTGTAGTGGGGGCGTGATAGGTGTATATTCTACTTCCTGTGCAGCCACTTCCAGCTTTGGGACCTTGGGCAACTCACTCAACCGTTCTGATCCTCAGCTCCCTCGTCCATAAAAAGGGTACATTACTTAGGGTTATTTGCATTGTGCTAAATGCGGGGGCAGGTAGGACTTTCAGTGACAACATGGTCTTTACCTTTAAGGAGCTTATTCTCAAGCATGAAGCAGGGAGGACACAGCCAACAAATAGCAATGACACAGTGAATGGTCTGAGCACGTCTTCCATTCTCCCTGTGCCTCTCTTCTATTTTCAAAAATAGTACTGTGTTCCCTCCTACCACGTGTGCCTGGAATGTATGTGCCACTTCTTCATCCGGTGTTATCTTCTACTTCACTTTCAACTTAAGCACCCATTCCATGTATCCACAGGTTGGGTCTGCATCCTTTATGGCAAAACTCTCATGGCAGTTGTAATGAGCTTTAATACGATCACCTGATAATTAACGTCCGTTTCCTTTTTCCAACTGTGATCTCCCTGTGGGCAAGAGTGATTTCTGCTTTCATCCAGCATGGTTTCCCTGGGGTTTAGCGCATGATTGGTACATAGTAGAAAATGCTCAGAAGAGCCTTTGTTGAGTGAATGAATGAGCCAGTGAATCCACATGCTACTGTGGGAGCCCATAGGAGGGAACCGGCTCATGGAGTTGGAGAGGTCCTGCGTGGAGTTGGAGAGGTGAAGAAGTTTGAGCTAGACCTTGAATGGTAAGCCAGGTTCCTCAGAGAAGATTACAGGCACGTCCAAATACATGGAAAGGGGACAGGTGGAAGGAGAAGGCACTTCTTATTCTGTATGGGCAGATCATTGGTGTGGTTAGCAGTCACTGGAGACTGGGCTGGAAGATTGATTGGAACCAGTTTTTGAGGTGTTTTACATACCATGTTTTAAAATTTAAGTTGTAATTGCAGAGGCATTGGGGGCCACTGAAGTCTTTAAAAAACAACGAACAAACCAGGGAATGGTATGACTGTATTTTAGGATAACGTTGGCACTGAGTGGGTGGTGGATTAGATGGTAGGCTTACTGGAAGTGTGCAGATGGCTTAGAGACTATGGTGCCGACATAAATAAACAAACAGAAAAATAGGAAGAGCCTTAACTGAGGCGGTGGCTATAGGATAGAAGAAGGGCTGGATAGGAAACTGAACAGACAAGGCTGTTTGGTGAATTGAACATGTCATTGTGAACCCAACTGTCCAAGTTGGGGAGTCTATTTCCATTGTCAGATCCAGTGTTTAGGCTGGATTCTATCCTGAAACGAGACTTTGAGTGCCAGTGGGGTTTTTTTGGAGGTCATCCCAGGAAGCTCCCATCAGGAAGGGGGAAAGTAGACTGGGAAGCTAGAGAAGCCAATCCCAGGTGCATGAATAAGCAGGTTAGCACAGGGACAAAGGGGACTCAAACCCACAGAGGACCCTTGTGGAACAAGCCTCAGAGTTGTCCCGCCCAGAAAGCAAGGAAATAGGTATTTACCACTAAATTTTCCATACGATTGGCTAAGGGCTATTCCTAGAAGTGTTAACTCCCTGGCACTTCCAAACTGCCCCATGCACCTGAGCTGAGAGAGGCCCCAGGCAGAGAAATTTGGATGCTTTCACTAGGAAGCCACTGTCTTGTAGAGGGGATGATGAGCTGGAAGGGGATACGGGTTTGCGGCTGACAACATCTACAGTATATGATGTTGTTTTGGGGTATCTAGCGCTCTGGGGTATCTAGTGCTCAGGTATGCTTTATAATGAGATTCTCAGAATAGCTTCCTCTTCTATAGAAGAGGAAGGGGCGCCTGGGTGGCTCAGTGGGTTAAGCCTCTGCCTTCCACTCAGGTCATGATCTCAGGGTCCTGGGATTGAGCCCCACATCGGGCTCTCTGCTGAGCAGGGAGCCTGCTTCCTCCTCTCTCTCTGCCTGCCTCTCTGCCTACTTGTGATCTCTGTCTGTCAAATAAATAAATAAAATCTTTATAGGAGAGGAAACTGAATCTTAGCATCAATGCTCTTAACATCTCATCATGCCTGTTTATTTGAATGGGCCAAGCTGGTTCATCCCCTGAATGATAATACTCCATGGCATTGTTTATGTTCTCTGCTCATTCACTGGCCTCCTAATATCTCTGTCCCACCAAGATTCCTTGCTTTTATCCTGAGGGTTTTCCTTTAGCATCAGTAAAGTAAATTTACTTTGCAGTCAGCACATAGCATATTTAAGAAAAAGCGTTTGCCTTATATGTTAAAGGAAGTATAATTACTCCCTCCAAGGGAATCTTCTGGCTGTTTACAAACCCTGGATTATAATTGGTATGCAGCTGATTGTCACAATAACCAAGAGGAAACACACCGCAGTCTGTGCTTCTCGGGGAGGAAAGCCTTCCTCTGAGTCCTATATACCACTATTTGGATTATTAAGTATTCCCAAACCTGCTCCTCTCTGGTGGAATGTGGCAAGAGCCATGCTGCAAGGCACCCCTCCAAATAAACACAATAAATCTATTTTCAATTTGTAAAATTGCTTTCTTGGGCTTTCACTCACTTTACAGCTTCGGTTGGGAAATAGCTTACATTGTAGGGCGATGTTGAACAGCGGCTGCCTCTGGTGGAACTCAGTATTACAGCTCAGCTTTATGGACCTACCTATGGCCTGAGAACAGCCTTTGAGAGGAGTGTAGATTCAAATTCAGGAATCCCTCAAGGTACTGGCCATCTGAGGGAGTGGCCAATAGAGGTGAGGTCTTTGAATAGGAATATATGGGAAACAATCATAGTGCAGTTTTAGCAGTGGTTTCCTAAATAACTTGGAATGGTTCCGTAACTTTCCTGAGAAATATGTCACCTACGGCAAGCTGTCAATGTCTTCAGCTATATCCTTCAATAATATTTATTTTCTTGGGGCACCTGGGTGGCTCAGTCAGTAAGTGCCAGACTCTTGATCTCAGCTCACGATTTCAGGGTCCTGGGATCAAGCCCCAAGTAGGCTCCACACTGGGCGTAAAGCCTGCTTGGGATCCTCTCTCCCTCTGCCCTTTCCATTCTCTCTCTCTCTCTTTCTCCCTCTTAAGAAAAGTTTTAAAAAATTAATATTTATTTTCTTGTATTTTCCTCAATACAAGTAGGACCATTTATTATACATAACTTATATTATTTAGTCTACAAAATAATCCTGTACCATAGGTACTATTATTCTTACATGGGAGGAAACTTAATATAAACTGAATAACTTTCCCAAGGTCACCAACTTAGTCTGCGGTAGAGATGCGACTTAAGTGGGAGCCATTTGAGTCTAAAATGTGGCTACTTACCCTATGCTATAATGTCTGTAGTTTTATATGCTGTTAGAGTTTCAAAATGCCACTGAATGGGTCAAGAGGAAGGAGACAAATTTAGAAGGTCAATGCTGAAGAAAGGTAGCAGATCCTGGCCATTGAAAACTCTTAGTAAAATCCAAGGGCTCTTATGGAAGGAAGTGGGCCATAATGTCCTATAGTTTGTGTTGGTGTAATTTAAAAGATAATGGAGCATGATTGCCATGGGCACAGAATTATTTTCAGAGAAGCACTGGATAGGTTTGCAGCCTATCCTGAATGGGATAGAGTAAGCTTCCTAATTATATCTCGTAGGACCAGTCACAAGCGACTGAGTCTAGATGTGTCAGAGGAGACAAAAAAGTGAACGGACATTTATTCATCACCTTTTGCGTGCTGGCCTTGGGCTATTGCTAATACTGCAGGTAGAGTTGTGAATGAGACGAACATATTCCTGGTCCTAAAGCGGCTGCATGCGTCCCACAGAGACACATATTGGTTGAGGTTGGGTTCCCCAGGAGCAAACTTTTCTTCATTCATTTCATTCTGAAAGCAAATGACTTATTTGAGTGGTGGTTCCAGGAAATAGGGGTCTGTGGAAATGAGACCAAAAAGAGAAAGACGTCGATAGAAGATGCATTATCCAGCAAGTTATCACTGTCATTGGCTCAGTTAAATTCTGCTGGAGATCTCTAGATCAGGGCGTAAAACACACCTCAAAGGCATCCTGATCAGGAGGCAAGGTAAATGGGGTGCCTACCAACTACTGCAG